AAAAAAAAACAATGTTATCTGAAAAGCACTCAGAATTGGGATTTAGATGAAAAGATAGGATTTTTGTTGAAGTGGGACAGCTATTTCATTCAGTAGAATAGACTGGGAAAAGCACCTAAGTTAGAGGAAATAAAACAGCAAGAACAAAAATCAGGATAGTTCGAGTTTGTTGAATGTACATTCATTAATACAATCACCTTCTTTGTAAGTTTCAGTCTTGTTTTCCTCTAATTACTGGCATCACAACTATAAAGTTATTGTCAAAGCACAGATATTACCGTGTCATATTCCTGCCTACAATTCTCAATATTCATTTCAATTTGCATTAACCACTTTGTTATTTAAAGTTAGAATACTGTGACAAAGTACCTGAGAAAATCAATTTATAAAGGGGGAAAAGTTATTTTTACTCATATGGTTTCTGTCCTGGGTCACATTTCTATTACTTTGGGCCTATGGCAGCACAGTACATTATGGTGGTAACTCCTGACAGAAGAGGCCTATTTGCCTCATGGCAGCCAGGAAGCAAAGTGAGACAGAAAGGGGATGGTTTCTCAATATCCCCTTTAAGGGCACATCCTCAGTAACCTCACTTTCTCTCCCTAGGCTTCACCTCCTAAAGATTCCACATTTTCCCAACAGTGCTATAAGTTAAGGACTAAATTTAAGATACATGGGCCTTATGAGGGCATTCAACATCCAAGTTATGGGAGTGCCAATCCCCTTAACATGATGAGATGGACCACCACCTTTTCTAGTTCTATAGCCCCTCAAACTTCACCCTGTCCTCCAAGATTTTGAGAAGATTTTTTTCCATCATCTTAAATAATCTTTTTTTCTCTCTTTGTTTAGAGACTCTGACTTGCTCCTGAGTTAACAATTTAGAAATAACTTTCATGAGAAAACGTTTTTTGATGCTCAAGCACAGTTTCGGAGTTCCACCTCTGATTTTGTCAGCCACTGGTCTTAAGAATCACTATTTTAATTACCAATCTACTTGTCTTTTTAGTAAACCAGACTGAAAATACCAGAAAAGCAGGAACTCTGTCTTGTTAACTTATTCTTGTATTCTTGATGTCTTCAAGAAAAATTGGCATACAATTAGACACTGAAGATATGTGCTTATTGAATGAAAGGATGGTTGAATAGATGCATGGAGGATAAAATAGAGAGATAATGGTTTTCTATCTGTTTAGTATGTGCCTTAATTAGATTCCTTAATGTTTATTGAATAGTTAAATCTTTGTTGAGTTGAGTTATGGAAGAAATACAGATTCTTGAAAAGAATTCTATCAAAATTCAAGTTATTCTTAGCAGGAGGAATGAATGATTACAATATTTCAAAATGCACTTCATAGATCTCCTATATAAATTGACTGGTTGCTAAAAATGCATATTAATGGGTCAATCTGATCTACTGAACCAAAATGTTCAGTTTCTGGGAATGTTACAGTGAAGGTGTTAAAAGAAATTTGGATATAGAGATGAAATTTTAAAAAAGTAAGTTAGAGCCTTAGAAGATGCTTGTTGTACATGTAAAGTGAAAAAGAATGTACAGTATGATGGATGTAACAATATCTGAAAAATACAGGAGAAGAACACATGTATATCTGTGTATACATATATGCACATACCTACACACATGCATATTTGTGCTAGAACAAAGATTAATGTGAAAAATACACACAACAATTGAATATTGAATATTTAAGTAATAATATTTTTT